AGCTCACACTACATCTTTATTCCAGCTTGCTTGCTTAATTCAGGAGATCCCACATCCAAAAATACAGCAGGCAGCTTAAACCACCACCCTCCACCACTTCTTTGAGCCAGCCTCCCCACTGCCTGCTCCTCCTCCACCACCTCCTCCCTCTATCTCCCAGGACTGTCCCAGGGCATGAAGCCCCCCCAGCTGAGATGTGATCAGAGGTGTTCAGCCAGCAGCTGATGCTGGCGCAGTCTTACATCTGTAGATTACAGGTTGGGGGCAGCAGCTGGTCTGGTGTCTGCCTCTGGTGCTCTCCATCCTCTCCAGCATGGAGCCAAACTGATAGTGGTGGTGAAGATTAAGAGCCAAAGTGGGGAGCTTTAACTCTGTGTCGTCCTCTGATTTCTCCTTCTCCCCCTGCAATGAATCACCCCTAGTTTTCTTCACCCCCCCTTCCTCTGTCCTGCGCTGCAGTATCAGCTCGTCTCTACATCCCCTGTTTGCAGCAGAGCCTAAATCCTTCTCCCGTTCTCCTCCCCTGTCACCCTCTCCCGCCTGGCTGGCTGGCTGGCTGGCTGGCAGACCGACACTGCTGAGCCTCTCCTCCACAGCTCCTCTCTCTGTCTCCTTTAAACCCCACTCTCCCCTTGCCTCTTACCCCCCTCCCTTTCCTGGACACCCCAACTAGCTCCCTATCTCTCTGCAATGCAGCCAGCAACCTCCAACAAGCCTGGGGACTGTTTGACCGGAGCACCCCCTCCTCTTTTCCACCTCTGCCTGACTCAAAGCATCCTTTATGGGCTTATTTATCTTCCCTCCCTCCCTCTCCTCTCCTCTCCTCTCCTCTCCTGCTCAGAGGCTGAGCTGCTAAAATCCTGCAGGTTCCACGATCATGACTGGGTTGGCAGCCTGAGACAAACTGCAGCACGCCTCCGAGAATCGATACACGGCCGCCAAAGCCGCATTTAATTTAAGTCAGGTAATAGAACGTACAAACAACCTCTCGTAGGAAATAAGCCTGAAGTAGTTCCATCATCCTACATTTGAAGCCTTTTTCACACTCCTCTCTCTACATTCCCCTTTCTGGCTCCCTGACTGTGACACATATAGAGAGATATAGTAATTACTGTAATAGACCTCTCATGGCTTCAGCGCCTTCTTCCCCTCTTTCTCAGGGGGAAACAGAGGGTTAGTTAGGGGGCTAGTTGAGAGGGAGAGAGAGACCAGTGTGATGATCAGCTAAGTAGA